GACAGGAAGCTCCTCCTCTGTTCCGAGGACACTGACCCCATCGTGGGCAGGTGTGGGGTGGTGTCAACTCTCCTGACCCCATGGGAACCTAAAGGCCCCATGTCCTAATGCCATCCCACTGTGGGGTGGGGCTTCAACATGTGAATCTGGGTGGACACCACAGGTTCCGGCCACAGCACCAGGAAGTTGACCGGATGCGTCTTTGGGGCCCGTGGCCCAGGGGCTGTTTGGAGGGGTCCAGAGAGAGACCCCAGAGGACATTATCCCCATTTCTCAGATGTGGCAGGCTGAAAAACGTCCCCCTCTCCCAAAATAAAAAGATGTCGATGTCAGATCTCTGAAACCTGTAATTATGACCTTGTTTGGACACAGGGTCTCTGCAGATGTGACTAAGATAAGGATCTGGAAGGAAGGTCACCCTGGATCATCTAGGTGCTGGCTGACAAGTTTGACTGGCGGTCACGCTTTTTTCTCTTTGACTAGTTTCTCTCTAAGAGAACAGTGCGGAAGAGGCAGCAGTGGTGACAGAGATTGGGGTGAGGCTGCTGCAAGCCAAGGAGCGCCAACAGCGGCCGGCAGGTGGAGGGCGAGGGAGGCCCCCCCCCCCCCCGAGGCTCTGGAAGGAGGCAGACCCGCCCACTCACTGAGTCCAGACTCCGGGCCCCCGGGAGTCTGAGGGAATACACTGCTGTTGTTTAAAGCCTCAGCTTGTGGGAATTCGAATGGCAGCCACAGGACCCCAGGCATGTACCCCAGGCACAGTCAGGGTCTGGGCTTCCCTCCGGCCCAGTGTGGACCTGGGGGAGCACCGCAGCTGGCTGTTAAGGGGAAGCCGGTGAGGCAGCTGCCCTGCTCCCCTCCCCAGGCTCCTGGTCCAGAGCTCTGACATTTGTTTGCCAGGGCAGTCTCCTGGCCACCTGCCCCTTGCTGGTGCCGTCCACCTCCATCGGGCTCTGTCACCCTCCCGCCCCCGCAACCTGGTTAGGACCTTTGTGGGGGCCAGAGGTAGTGAGATTAGGTACCTTGATCTTCCCTCCCCTCCCCTCCCCTCCCCTCCCCTCCCCTCCCCTCCCCTCCCCTCCCCTTCCCTTCCCTTCCCTGACTTTATTTTTGAAGAGAGAGGAAGGGAGGGAGAGAAACATGGATGTGAGAGAGAAACATCAATTGGTTGCTTCTTGTACTCGTCCCAACCAGGGACCACACCTGCAACCCAGGCATGTGTCCTGACGAATTGAACCAGCAACCTGACTGGCAACACTTCACTTGGTGGGATGACACCCAACCCACTGAGCCACACTCGTCAGGGCAGGATTAGCTGAATGCCACAGAGGCCAGGCATTTACAAGGGGGAGTGGCAGGACTGCTGTGACACCCAGGGCAGAACACCAGAGCGAGGAGGACAGGACTCCCCACACCCCCCAGGGCAGAGAAGGGAATTCAGAAGGCTTCTTGGTGGGAGGCACTGAGTGCTCAGCTAAGCAAGAGGCAGGCAGCGGGAAAGGATGACCCAACTCGGCTGAGGCAGGGCACTGGTGAGGACCCAGCTGGAACGAGGGGTGCTGACTTACAAAACCCCGGAAGCACAGAGGTGGGGACATAACATGGGGCGGGGGTGGTTGTATCGCCTCTTTCCGAACGCGGGAAGGAGGCTGAATGCGGCGTAAGGATGGGGCATCTGCTAGACCAGTACTGGGAGGGAGTCCCGCCCAGGCTTCAGTGGGCCCGGGACCCCTCTCAGCTCCTAGACCAGCCCCGGGTCCCTTACTGACCCAGGAGTGGGGCCTGCGCCCTTCCAAAGCTCCCCCCTCCCGCCAGCCCCACTGTAATTTCCAGCTCCTACCCAGAAACCTGGCAGTAACGGGTTTGGGGTCTGAGAGGGGTGGGCCCTAGAGAGCTGGGAGGGGCTCCAGCTTCAACCAAACGGAACCTGCGGCAGCACTGAGGCCCTTTCCCAGTCCCTGGGGGGAGAGACTCACAAAGCCAGCGTCACGTGTTGGAAAAAGGAGTGTCGAGGTCAGCTCTGCAGTGGCGCAGTAGGGTAGCTCTTTGTCGCAGCAAAGGCGGACTGTGTTTGAACACAGCGTCACACTTGGGAAAGTGCCTACGCATTCTCAGGGACCTTAGAAGTCACCTGGCCCGTCTCACTGATGTGCTTTTGTTATATTCACCTGAGGACTTGCTTACTGATTTTAGAGAGAGGGAAAGGGAGGGGGAGGGAGGGAGAGAAACATTGATGTGCGGTTACGTCTCCCACTCACCCCAACCGAGACCAAACCTGCAACCCAGGCATGCGCCTGACCAGGAATTGAACCTGTGACCTTTTAGTTTATAGAACAACGCTCCAACCAGCTGAGCCACACTGGCCAGGGCCACAGATGTGTTTCTTTTACAGAGGCACAAGGACTCACCTGAGACCTTGTGGATCAGAGGTGGGACCAGGACGGGAGCTTCAGGTCTCTGATGTCCCGGTCTGAGTCCTTTCCTCTGTCCCACCAGACATCAGCTTACCCTGCCTGCCTTCCCCCTGCTTCGCTGTGCCCCCGGGAGCTTTCTGGCTTTATTTCCCTGGAGATAACAGCAGCTGGGGGAGGTGAGCTGGGGTAACAAAGGAAGGAGTGGTAGACGCTGGTGTCCAGGCCGGAGCCCCCCAGCTCGCTGCCTTCCTGCCCTCCTTCCACACACCCTCTTCCTGGGCATTCTTTAGAGTTTCCTCTCCCGCTATTAATAGTGGGGAGTCTGGAGAGTCGATCCTGGGTCTGTCGTAGCCAGGAACAGGAGGAAGCAGACACTCGCTGAAGGCCCAGGGCAGTGTTCTCCTGCCTCTCCCACTTGCCCCCACGGGCAAGTGAGCCTGCTGCTGGGAGAGTGGTTCTCAAACGTTAGCGCGTCAGAAACGCCAGTCGCTAACGCCGGCCCAGAGGTTCTGATTCAACGGGTCTGGGACGGAGTATGAGGGTACTCCCCCCGAAACTGAAGGCAAGCGTGCGGGGGACCCGTCACCTCTCTCTCTGCCGCCGCCCCCTGCACCGCACGCACCTCGACACAGCCTGCAAGACCAGCTTCCATATCCTCTCCTGCCTGCAGTTACGGTCCCAACCGCTCGGCCACGGCACACACTGAGGACTTTCCCTCCCTCCTCTCCGTCTCAGTTTGTAACGTCACTTTCAGGGACCTCGGTGTCCACTTGGATACCCAGTCAAACGCCCCGGGCTCTTGTGACTTCAGTCATTTACATTTCACACCCGCACGTTACCACGCCCGCAAACCGCACCGCTCCGAAATGGCAGCACTTCATTCTCCGACCGCCGTTCCTCCCCACCCACTCGGCCTGCTCAGATACCCCGCGGCACAGGGTCCGAGCTCGGGAGCCATCACTGCTTCATCGCCTGGCAGCTGTCTTGTTCCCTCCTGCCTCTCACTGTCCACTACAACCCCTGCCTTTGCGAATAACCACAAGCCCCCCGCACCCTCTCCCACCATCCTGGTCACCTACAAACCCTGTTCCCAGATGAGCCCTGCCCGCACTCTTCCCGCGCCTCTGCCGGAGCAGCAGGACACCCCCAAGGTGAAAGGCACACTCGGGCTGATGGGGTTCACTGTAAATTCATGGTTTTGTGCCTCTGACACCAAATACTATCTGGCAGTTACACTCCCCCGCCCACTAGCATCGTGTCTCTCACAGTGTGGCCCTCTGCCCATTAGCGTCAGAACCACCTGGGAACTTGTTAGAAGTGGAAACTCTCATGCTCCGTCCCAGACCCGTTGAATGAGAACCTCTGGGCTGGCGTTGGCAACTGGCATTTCTGACGCGCTAACGTTTGAGAACCACTCTCCCAGCAGCAGGCTTACTTGCCCATGGCCAAGATGAGTATTTCAGACTGCTTCTTTCCACATAACTACTCCTCCCGTCTTATTTTATTTATATTAGTATGGCTGATTTCGTCTGGACTTGGTTGAGAAAACTGAAGCCGTCAAATGGAAATTTATTGTTTCACTACCCAAATTTAAAAAATGCACTTACGTCTCTCTCCGTGTGCTTCCTTCTGGTTTCACGTGTGATGAAGTCCGGGTCCTCTTTCCACAGGGGTCCTAGGCCAACACACGTGTATTCCCTTCTTCATCACAAGGACCTGGTGAGACTGTAGAGTGGGAACAAACCAAACGGAGCATTTGTATCAGCTCCGGCTCCAGGTACAAATACCTGGTACATTTGTATCAACTCTGGCGTCTCCCACCTCCAGAGACAAGCAGAACTGTCTTGACTACCAGCTTCCTCCAGCGGCCGTTTTCTCTGCTCCTCTTCCTACCTAACACTTGACAAAGAGTTTACACACAAGGCCACTGCCCTGCCATTCACTCACACTTCAGTCAGCCCTGTCCGGCTCCTGCCTGCACCCCTCCCATCGAAGCTGTAAGGTGAGATGGCTGGGACTTCCGTGTTGTTGATTTCATCACTCAGCACAGCCACCCACTCCCTCCTTGCAAAAACAAACAAATCAGAAGCCCTGTTGTATCTCCTCCCTGTTTCCCCCAGAAGTAGCTGTTACCCTAAACTTTTCTGTAAAATTGTAGTAATCCTTTGTATCTAGCTCTAAAGTTATATTAGTTTTGCCAATTTTTAAAAAGATTTTATTTATTTATCTTTAGAGGGGAAGGGAAGGAGAGAGGGAGAGAAATATCAATGTATGGTCACCTCTCGTGTGTCCCCTGCTGGGAACTGGCCTGCAACCCAGGCATGTGCCCTGACTGGGAATTGAACCTCAGTTGTTTGGTTCTCAGGCCCACACTCAATCCACGGAGCTACACCAGTCAGGACCCATTTAATTCTTTTGTCTGTTTTTCTAATGGGTTTTCTTACCTATAGAAGTTTTTAAAAAATATTTTTAGGTAATAATCTTTTGTGACTATATATGTTGCAACTATCTTCTCCTGATTGTTTTTATTACCCTTTTGGTTTCTTTTTTTCCTGCCTTTTATTTTAAAATAATTGTAGATTTAACCCTCCTCTTCTTGGTGGGGGTCGGGCGTGTGGCCCCAACCCCCGTAATGTACCGAGGGAGAGGGAAAGGGCTCCGGCCCCCTCGGCGTCATGTCTTCGACGCCGACGGTTTCCAGTCCACCGGTTCTATCCTCAAGCACCGGGACACGGGTAAAAAGTAATCATAAACATATAAAAAAATAATTGTAGATTTACAGAAAAGTTGAAGAGATGATACAAGTTCATACACCCTTCCTGCAGCTTCCCCTAATGTTAACATCTTTAAAAAAAGATTTTATTTATTTACTGTTGGACAGAGGGCAAAGGAAGGAGGAAGAGAGGGAGAGCATCATCAATGTGGAAGAGAAACAATCAGTTGCCTCTCGTATGCCCACAAATGGAAACTTGGCCCGCAACCCAGGCATGTGCCCTGACCGAGAATTGAACTGACAACACTTTGGTTTGCAGGCAGGTGCTCAATCCACTGAGCCACACCAGCCAGGGCTCTGATGTTAACATCTCACATAACCACTGCACATTTATCACCACTAAGAAATGAACACTGGTACAACACTATTAACTAAATAAACTACGGATTGTTCATATTTTACCAGTATTTCCACTACTCTGGTCTCTTTTGTTCCAGGATATGACATTGCATTTAATCACGTCTGACTAGTTTCTTTCAATCTGTGGCAGTTTCTTCGTCTTTCCTTAATTGTTCATAACCTTAATGGTTTTTAAGAGTACTAGCTGGATATTTTTGTGGAATGTCTTTCAGTTTGGGTGTGTCTGATGTTCTTTTATGGTTACACCGAGGTTAGGTATTTTTAGAAATAAGACCAAGGGAAGGTTTCCTCCTATCAGGGGACGTGATGACTGATGGCCAGTCACAATTTAGTCATGGGTGTTGTTGACCGTGACCATGGGGTTCAGATGATGTGCCTTCCAGGTTCTGCTACTGACTTGCCCTGTCCATCCTTCCTCGGAAGAGAGTCGCCAGGACCAGCCCACACACACATGGAAGTGGGAAAGAATGTTTCTCCTGCAGGAGGGAAGGGTATCTCTATGTTTCAGAATTTTCCTGTAAGAATGATTTGTTTCTCCTGACCCATTTATTTCTTTTATTCAGTCATTTATCAGCATGAACTCATAGGTATTTATTTTACTCTTCTGGTTCCAATGCAATATTTCTAAATTTTGTTGCTTAAATTGTTCCAGCTTTGGCCACTGGGAGTGCTTTGCCTCTCGGACTTGTCTCCCGCCACCCCCACTGCTCTCCTAACTTTCCGGGATTACGCAATGTTCAGGCTCACCTGACGTTTTCCCTGCATCCGCACTAGACTCAAGTCCTTAGTCCAGGGAGCCCTGGTTCATTGTGTTGGAGAATGACCAGGTGCACCTGGCGGGTCACCGCTTTCGACCCTCTCAGTGGACAGAGGCAGGAAACACGTTTATGTACCACCCCACGTGTGCATACGAACCTACGTGTTTACCTATCTGTAGGTGTATGTGAAGTAGATTGAGAATTGATAACCCATAGCCTTTTGAGACACAAGCTTAGCACTTACACTGTTTATACACAGTCCTTTACACAGTCGCAGCTTTACAGTCTCCAGTCAAAAAACTATTTCCCAGTGGCTTTGACCCACTTTCCCCCCCCATCTCTTCAGTGACGTTATGTTACACACATTTGTAAAATAAGTAAAATTTATTTCCATAGCCTCCATCACAGCCCTGGATTTCCTGAACATCTCAGTAGACTGCCCCCCACACCCAAAATCTGCACTAAGGAAAGTTCAGTCTTTAAGGTGTACAGTTTTACTGGTTTCGACAAGTGGTCTTAGACACCCATCACCCAATACCATACAGCATGGTTTCGTTGTCCTAAAATCAATTCCTTACCCTTCCCTCCATGCCAGGTAACCACTGGTCTGTTTTCTGCCCTGTCAAACACTAGGTAGGCCTTCACTTCTTTCATTTAAAACGTCTTTAAGATCGTCCATGCTGCGTGAATAGTAGCTCATTCCTAGTTTTTGCTAAGTGGGCCCTGTGTGGACATATGACTGTTTATTCACTACTTGAAGGATACCTTGGTCGTTTCCAGTTTTTTATGAGCAGTTTATGAGTAAAGCTGCTACGAACATTTGCATACAGGTTTCTGTGTGACCACAAGTTTTTAGTTCTTTGGGGTAACTAAGACTAGAATTGCCAGGCCATATGGTAACTGAAGCGTACCGCTTGAAAAGAAACGGCCAAGCTGTGCTCCAAAGTGGCAGTGCTGTCTTGCATGCCCACTGGTAATGGGTGCGAGTTCCTTCTTCTACTTGGTATTGTCAGTTTCTTTTACCCGTTCTAACAGGTGTGTGTAATGGTATTGCATTGTAGCTTTAATTCGTATTTACCTAATGACTCATGAACATCTTTTTATGTGTTTGTCATCTGTATATTTTCTTTGGTGATTTTTTTTCTTGTGGCTCTTTTGCCCTCTTAAAAAACTGGGTTATCTTTTGATTGTTGAGTGTTAAGAGGTGAGTTTCCTTATTGAACCAGCTAGGATTTCTGTTGTTATTGCGATGTTCATTGGAGTGATGAGAGCACAGCTTTGTCTTGTTCCCAAGTTTAAGGGCAAAGCATTCAGTCTCTCCCCGTTCACTGTGATGGTAGCTGAAGGGTTATTTGGATGTTTCATTTATTAGGTTAGGAAAGTTTCCCTCTATCCTAGTTTGCTGGGACATTTTTAAAATTATAAATGAATGATGAATTTTATCATGAATTTTCTGAATATGTTGAGACAATCACATGGTTTTTCTTATTTTATTGTCAATACGGTGAGTTGCACTGGCTAATTTCCATATACTGAACTAGCCATGAGCTGAATCCCACTTGATCGTGATGTATTATCCCTTTTATATGTTGCTGGGTGAGGGGTCATTAGGGACATTCAAATTAAAACTGCAGTGAGACACCTCCGCATGCCCACTGAAATGGCTGAAATGAAAAGGGCCCATGACGACAGCTGGTGAGGATGAGGAGGAACTGACACCCTCGTGTACTGCTGGTGGACGTGTAATCTGGTGCAGCCACTTTGGAAAACAGTTTGCAGTTCCTCAAAATTCCTAATATTGAGCTACCATAAGATTCAGAAATTCCACTCACTCCCAAGAGAAATGAAAACACATGTCCACACAGAAGTGGGTCTGTGATGTATAGCAGCATCATTCATGATAGCCAAAAAATTTAAACTGCCCGAACGCTCATCGCCTGATGTATGGATAAACGAAATGTGGTATATCCATACAGCATAATAGCATTCAGTAACACACAGAAATAAAGAACTGGTACATGCTCATCAACATGGATGAACCTTAAAAAGCATACTGAGTGGAAGAAGCCAGACATTGAATCATATGCCTTGTATGATTCCATGTATGTGAAACATCCCAACAGGCAAATCCATAGAGAAAGAGATCAGTGGCTGCCTAGCACATGGCTTTTCTTCTGCTGTGTCTTCAGTGTGAGGGTCTGTGATAATCTATTAGGAGGTTGGCCTGTGTAAAACTGGTCGCACCGGCGCTCTCTGCCGCTCTCCCACTGGGATCCCTGCACAGAGATGCAGCAGCGCCCCCGCCGCCCACCCCTGCCACGCCCTTGCTGGCCTGTTCCCCCAGAGCCATGCCCACCAGGTCCGTGACCTCCTCTTTCTACCACGTGATGTTTGGCACCCCGGCACCGACAGCTGGCCAAGCTCCAGGCAGAGCTACATGACTGGCCACCTGCTCCTACAGCCTGGGCAGCGCGTGGCGCCCTGGCACCAGCCACAGTGCATACGTCTCCTTCGGCGGGCACTGTGTACTCTGCGCGCTCCTCTACGGTGCGCATGTGCAGCAGTGTCGCTGGCGTGCCGCGGCTGCAGGACTCTGTATTACAGACTTCTCTCTGGCCCACGCTGTCAATACCGAGTTCAAGAACACCCGCGCCAACGAGAAGGTGATGCTGCGGCAGCCGAAGGACTGCTTTACCAACTGCATCAACAAGTTGCGCTACCTGGAGCAGCAGAACAAGATCTTGATGGTTGATGAGCTGCTCAAGGGCCAGGGCACAGCACACCTGGGGGACCCCCAGGAGGAGGAGATGCAGGAGCTGCGCCGGCAGGTGGGCCAGCTCCTCAACTCACAGCCTGTGATGAGGTGGAGCCCGACAGCCTGGCTGAGGGCCTAATGCGGCTCCGGGAGAAGCTGCAGGAAGGAGATGCTCAGAGAGAGGAAGCCGAGGGCAGCCCACAGTCCTTCAGACAGGATGCTGCCAGTGCTTCTCTGGCGCGACTTGACCTTGAGTATAAAGTGGAATCTTTGCAAAAAGAGATTGCCTTTGGAAGAAACTCCACAATGAGGAAATCCAGGAGAGGCAGGCCCAGAATTGGGCGCAGCACCTGCGAGCTGATGTGGATGTTTCCAAGCCTGACCTCACTGCAGCCCTGTGTGATGCACACCCACAGCATGAAGGTGTGGCTGCCAAGAACCTTCAGGAAGGCTGAGGAATGGTACAAGTCCAGGTTTGCTGACCTCTCCAAGGCTGCTAACCGGAACAGTGATGCCTTGCACCAGGCAAAGCAGGAGTCAGATGAGTACGGGAAACAGGTGCCGTCCCTCACTCACCAGTGACATGGATGCGTTTAGAAGAACTGCGTCCCTGGGACGCCGGGTGCATGGAATGGAAGAGCACTTTGCTGACTGGCAGGCTGCTGACTGGCAAGACAGTATTGGCCGCCTGCGAGATGTGGTTCCAAAAATTAAGAAATGTCTCTTCACCTTCGAGAATACCAAGACCTGCTGCATGTGAAGATGGCTCTTGGCATTGAGATCGCCACCCACAGGAAGCTGCTGGAAGGCGCGGAGAGCAGGACTCTGCTGCTTCCCAATGTTTCTTCCCTAAACCTGAGGGGAACCAATCTGGAGTCACCCCTTCTGGTTGACAGCCACTCAAAAAGGACACCTTCAATTAAGACAGTTGAAACTAGAGATGGACAGGTCATCCATCAATGAAACTTCTCAGCATCATGAGGATCTTGAATGAAAATTGCATAGCCTTGGTGCAGCAATATGTATGAGCAAGAATAAAAACAAAATCCATGTCTGAAAGAAACAGCTTTCAAGTGCCTTTTTGCAGTT